GCAGGACCCCACGCGGCCGTCGGCGCTCGCGGTCACGTCGCCGATCAAGGCGTCCGTTGTAGCTCTAAGGAATGTCGCATGCAGGGTTTAGGGAAAAACGGGGTCAGGAGTTTGTATATCCAGAGGGTTCAGGTATACCTGACTTTAGTTTGGCTTTACTCCATCTTTCAAGGGGGCCTCATCAAAGCACAACAAGGATTTAGTGTTCCGGGTTTCAGGGTCTAGAGTCTAGACCTTAGGTAGGATTCCGTCAGGACGTCAGGACTCATGGTTTAGGTTTGCGACCCTGAACCCTGAATGCTAAGCCCTAGGCTGGCATGAGTTCTAAGGAGCAGTGGTTAGCTTTGTTTCACGGTTTTGGCCGGTGTTCCAAGTGCAGAACAAATTTCTCTTGGGATTCCCTTATTGTAGCTTCCCAGCAAGTTTGGACTTCGGCTACGCGGTTTCGAAGGATTTAAGCCCAAAGCATTTTCGAATCCCCTGACGTTAGAACAGCATCCGGCGTATAAGGCTTCAGAGTTTTGTTCGGGGGGCGTGATTGGTTTTACTTTTTTTTACTCATGGCAATGGTATTTGGGAATTCACGGTCGGCACTCCTTCAAGGTTCATGGAAGCCTAGTAACTGGGATCGAGGTGGGTTTATGAGCAGCATAACTCTGCCAGGTCGTTCGCACCTTCCACTCAGTAAGTCTCTTTGGCCTCTGCGTGGTGATTACAACCCCGTGATATGCGAACCCCTCATCCTGAACTCTGGCTTTGGCCACGAGGCTCAAGTTTCTCACTTCTGGGAAGTTGGGGTTTCGTTGATTTTTGGACATGTTGAATTGAACTAAGCCCAGAGACGGGTGAGGAATTGACCCGCAACCGGCAAGTCCACAAACTCCAAGCCTTCCTCGGCCCAGCTCTAAGCACGAAGCCGAGACCCTCAACAAGTGCCGGCTGTGCAAACAGGTCGCGCGTGAGGAGAGACCGGAGTAGAGACAGGCCGGACGTCCTGAGAAACCGCAATGAGCAGAATTCGGAGGGGGCATTGAGGGTTCCCAAACGACGGCGCTCCCCTTATGAAGTCCATAAGGCATCAGAAAAGGATTCTGCTACATGTCGTCTCACTGAGAGAGCCTTGCCCGGAAATTCGTAGGTTACCTTCACCGAGATTTGCCTTCTAAGGTGTTTTCCATATGCTGCCGGCAGAAGTAATCTTAGCCGGGAGTTTGCTCAATTTGTGCTTTGTCCTCTGAAGTCCAGAAGCCCCTCGTCAATGAGTCAAATCTGAATTTCTGACTCCTGGTGCCAAAAAACTCTTCGATTTCGCAGGAATCTCAATCGTTGGAGGGCCATCTAGATCACGGGCACCCTCGACGACACCACTCTAACTTCGTTTCTTTGCACTACAACGGCGACCAACAACAACAGATCAGCATCATGGTCAAGATTACTCCTTCGCATTGACGTTCGATCGAATTTTCCATAACCCTTCAACCTTAAACTTTGACCCTTAAATCAAAGCCTGGGTATACCCCCCCCCCCCCCCGGCAAAGATCCCGCTCGTTTGAGACAGGCGCCGGACCAGGGCTTCCGAATCCCGCTCGCGATCTGCTGGCTCCAGGCAGGCTTTAGAGCTTTAAGGGTTCGCCTATATTTAAACATACGGGTTGAGGATTTAGGGCTTCAGGGCCACCTTGACTTAGCCCGAAGCCCGACCAACACATTCATGATTCCCTGGCCTCCGTTGTTGGGAGGTAAGTGCCGAAGAGACAGTGCGAGTCCGGCGCCGGGAGCCCGGAGGTTGCAAAAAGGAAGCTTTAAGGATCATTAGGGGGGGTCCAGAAGAAAATTTCAGGTGTCCCTGGTTCTAGGGGTCCGGGGGCTGTTGCTGCGTTTCAGATAACCACAAAGTACCTTGCATGTGCTCTTGGCAAATACGAGTCAAAGGCCTGACCCACAGTCTCTGCTTTAGAAGAACATGTTTTGCTATAACATGATATAGCACGAAGAGGTAATGTAGTACAGTAAAGTAGCATATAGGACCCGATTGAATCTGGATCTGTGCACCGAGATGTCCACAAGCTCCCACACAAGAGCAAAGCGAAGCGACTGCAGCGGTGCATCCAAGAAAGCTTTCCCATGAATCAACTTGAGGGGGTTTCCTGAAGCCCCTAACCTTTATGATGTCTTTTAGCGTCTTTACTGGCGGTCCCTGTCCCTTAGCATATCACGTTGTGGAGCGGGCACTGGCGGGCTTCGCCGAGGCCTTCGTGCTTCGATATCAGATTCCATTCTCAAGCCCTCTGGAAATGATATCCTCAGAGTCAACCGGCTTGAACTCTTCTGCTGGGTCCCAGGTTGAGAACTTCTGCTTTTATCAAGAGCTGAAATCAAGTTTGGAGATTCCTGTTCGAAACTTTGGGCCGTAGAGTGCAGAGTTTGGGGTTCGAGTTTAGCATTTAGATCGGATGGCTAATCTGATTTAAGCTCCGGATTGCACTCAAGGGTCTTAGTTCATGAAGTCCAAAGCGCAATTCGTTTCAAGCTGCGGATACCCAAATCCCAAGCAGCAGTCTGATGCCTCAGCTCGAGAACCCCAAGCCCAAAGCCCACTTTTTGGCTTTACTCCTTCGCGATGTTGAGGCCAGGCTTGATGGCTTCCACTGACGCCCTTGGCTTGCATGGATCGTATATCAGAAGTTCAGCGAGAAAGTTTCGATAAAACCCAACCGTATGGTTTTGTTTGTGTGTGGTTTATTCGGGTTCGTCTAGAATCTGAAGCAGCCTTGGAATCTGGAAACCGTAGCGCAACATTTCAGTAGTAAACCCGAAACCTTTTGTTGGAAAGCCTGCTGTGATTTAAGAGCGGCCTGAGGAAGGCACAAGGCATCACGTAAGGGTAAGCATCGAGTATTGTTAACAGCGTTCTATGAGGCTGTGCCATGCAGGTCTTAAGAAGGCCAGGACTCAAATGAGTGTGCCTTCGGATGAGCTGGGGGAAGTCTGCAGCTTCACTGCCTAGGGTGTAGGAAGGTTGGAAGCCAATGTTGGTGTAAAGACTTCTCTGGCTTACTCTCAGGACCCATAGACCAGGGCCATCCATGCAAGCTGGCGCGCGAGGGGTCTTAGCTTACATCTGCCAGGAGGGCCCCTACGCAGGATCTTTTTGCCTTAAAGACTGAAGGACCAAGCTGCTAAGCGTGCACCGCTACTTTGTTCAGCTGCCTGCTTAAAAGTTTGCCACGGGGTCAGTAGAGGGGAATAGCCACAGGTCGAATGCCTTTTGGCTTCTAGAAACGGGTCCGAACATGACATGGCTTCTCGCCCGGGTGGCGCTTGGAGCAGCCACTTTTCTGGCAAAATCCTGCAAAATGTCAGTACCGATTGGGGTTCAACGACATATGGGAGGGTTGTTGCAATCTCGGTGTAGCTTTGAGGGCCCCTATCGTCCGACGATTTAGAGTATGTAAGTGTCAGAGGTTGGCTGAAACTTTCAGAGATGAATGTCCGTTGTTGGTTCCGTAAACAGTTCTTCTACACCGTGGGCAGCAGTGCAACCACATAGGCCTGCAGGATTCAATGACAATCTTGTTAAAGTCCTCTTGGCACAGAGAGCAGGAAGAAACCGCAGCCCCACCTATGGTGCAAATGGAGTCGAGAAGTCCTGCATGCAGCCGGACTGCGGAGCATGTTACAGTACAGCCTGTTGGCGCAAAGCAGAAGAAATCTGTGCACTGCAACGATGCTACTACCTGTAGTTGCGGTGGTGGTCGTGGAGGTAGCGGCAGTAGCAGCAGAAGGAGCGGCTCCCATATCATGAGTTGCAACAGCAGGGGCAGTGTTACAGCGACAGGACGAAAAGAGGGACAATCGGAGAGTAGCAGAGGTTTCTAGCAGTAGTGTGGTAGTCGCACCGTAGTAAGACATCTTCTTGAGTTCGACATCACCACCATCATCATATTACAACATGAGCGATAAGGTGAAGGACGAGTAAAAGGTTTGCGTGTCTGGGCACTAGATAGGAATCGCACATATCAGGCAGCGCAGGACTCCCGCTGTCAACGGAAGCAGCGCAATTGTCTTGAGTGCCAGAACCCTCCCGCATGACATTCTTCAACTTCCCGCGCCTGCAAGTTTGCATCCCCGAACCCTCAAAGCCTAGGAACCCATACCCTAAAGCCTCTCCCACCAAACCGGCGTGCACGCCCAAAGCCCTGGACAATGCATCAACAGCAGCAGGGTAGAGTGCGGGTCTTGGACGCTCCTAGACCCTTACACCACTGAAGCCCAGAACCCACAAATCCTCCACTTAACCACAGACACTTCCTGCTTCCGTCAGCTCACAGCATAGAGACAGCTCTGGATACCGGACAACCGGAGAGGGCGAGGATGTGAAAGACTTGGAATTAAGAAGTCGAGGTTTAGTTGGTTAGGGTGCTGAAGTTTAAGGCGTCGCGAGGGCTCAATGATTTTCAGGACTTCAGGGACTTAGGATGTAGGTTTGTCTGCCAAGTGGGTCATCTGCAGCAGAGGCCCAAGTTTCCCCACGTCCACAAGTTTTCGTAGCAGCTACCCTTGCTGGTCTAAGCCCTTGAGGTAAGGAGAAGAGGATTCACCTCTGCGCTTGTATTTTCCTCCATCTCTTGATCGTACGTACTTTCACATGTATTGGAACTGTTTCTGCTGGTTGATCAGACCACCCTTCCCCTGTCTTGGAATAGCTTCGTTGGCGCAGGTCTGCAAGACAGGCCTGTGCCGCCTAATTTGTAGCACTGGCAAGAGTGCCTGCAAGCACTGTTATGTTGACATGCACGAAAAGCATTCAACAAAGACATGGACAGTATTCATGCTCTTCTGTAGAAAGTTGTACAGACCACAAACATGTGCACACACACACACAATTTGAGCTCTGCCAATGCATGAAGGCATTACGTAAGGTCTTCGAGCTGGCTTCGAATCCAGCTGCTTCGCTCGTGGCTTGGTCGCAAAACATCCCTGAAGCGGCAGACTGCGTTATGCCAGCACGCGGCGAAGTCAGCCGACGGAAGTCGCTGCAACGGGTTCGCCAGAACGAAAACAGCATTGAGGAGTTCAATGCTTTGGTGACTTGTTTAAAGGAGCGGCACGTCGCGAAAGAATGGCTGTTTGAGATGCTGGCAGACGTCTTTGCTCAGGACATAATGTGCTTCTCTTCGGCATATAACCGGGACATTGTCTATGAGTACAAAGATGCCATCACGCACTGCAGCTTGCGTGTGATGGACGCACGATATCTCGAACTCGAACCGTTTTGCGTTAGGTTGTCAGGCACTTTATTCAGACGGCATGATTAGCAGCACGTTTGTCCCGGCGGTTGAGATTGCGCTGGCTGGCAACCCAGTCGCTGTTGCAGAGCACTGACGGACATCTGCAGGAGAAGGGCGGGTTCACGCAGAAGAGAGCCACATGAAGGATTGCAAGACTACTTTGGCACGGCCCTGCCTTTAGCCAGAAGTTTGGAGCACTTCAAGAGGAATATCCAAGAGGAAGGTGTGAAAATTCTGGTGAGGACAAGCTGGCAGGATAACAGTACAACGCTGGGTGAGCTTCAGCGCCTGCTTCCACATGACTGTTCAGCTGGTCGGTGTTGGCATCATGCTTTGGCAATTTTGAGGCGACGCGGTGGAGATGATGTTCGCACAACACATGGCCACGGAAGCGGCAAGCGTGCTGCCTCAGAAAGGGACCGTCCAATCTGTCCAGCTTCCACCCTTGCCGGCACGATTGGCGAGTCGTGTCCTCAAGGCATCAAGTGCTTTGTTTTGAGTGGAAGTTGGTGAGCGTAGAACGTTCACCATCTTGGACTTGGCGTTGACGCACCACACTGATCCTGTGCTCCTGTTTGCTGTTGTTACATGTCTTCAATGCGAGTGAGTGACGTTGTGGAATGACTGGATTGCCGCGCATACTGTTCCAAGCCGCATGCGAAGAAGTGATGGAATTAGCGATGTTTGCAAACCATTCCTTCCAAGCCGTTTAAAAACACGTTTTCAGCACGGGTCCAAACTGTTCCGATCCACTTCGAAACCCGTCCCAAGCCATTTCAAGCCAAATCAGCGAAAATGATCGTTCTTGAGAGTTGGTGCCAAACAAACAATTTTGTGAGCAACGTGTGAGGAAGAGTCAGCATGGTGTGAACAGGAGTGCGAGCGAGAGATGCGAGAGTGGGGAGGGATCTGTCACTGTCAAGGGCAAGTCCCCACTTACGCTCGCTCACATTCCTCACAAGGTATGAACTGTTGTTGTAGGTTTGCGGGCCCACGGGTTGGGGTTTCGGAAACCTGAAACAGAGCCCTAAGTCTGAAGCGGATCAGAGGCAGCAGCATCGAGACCCGCGGGGGGAATTTAAAAAACCAATTTGGTGGGTTTGGAGGTATTGGGGCGGTGTTTTGTCGGGCTTCAAAAAGTTTCAGGATTTAAACAGTTCAATCGCCCTGAACTTTGAACTCTAACCCCAAGCTCCAAAGCTGAAGTTGGCGACGAATATTCCAAGGGCCCGAGACTTACTCAAGTGTTAGCAGCGGCGCAACACAATCGTACGTAACCGAATCTTCTGTTTGGGTGCGCCACATGAGCTTCAAGGATGGTACGTGGGTTTACGCCAATGTGAGTTATCAGGGATATAACATTTACAATGTTTAGGTTTAGGGCTGACAGAGTGGATGATTTCCGGCGTGCACAAAGGCTTGCAAATTGTAGGGTCTTGGTTTCTGTATCAGGTCCAGCTTCAGGATCTCTTGAGGTTGCGCAACAAACTCTGAGCATCTCTGAGCCTTAAAAGCAGTAGTCCTAAGAGTTCGGCAACTAGGCAAAGGTTACAAAAGTTCCAGTGACCTTTCTGGCTCACCAAGCTCGTGACCACTTGTGCACCGGCCGAGAAAGCGCCATCGAAAAGCTGCTGCTGGGCATGCAGGGTTCCAGCAAGAGTTGCTGGCTTGTAATTAGGTACCATGTTTGGATGACTGTTGAGATGAAACCCTTCTAATTCCACAGTCCAGGTGCAACCCACCTACAACCTTTGCTGATAACGGGAACCTCCAATTGCCCTGGTGCAATGCAAGAATACTGCTGTACCTTGTAGTCATTGCAGAACTGTACTATCACAACAATGTACAGCAACACCTTGCTGGTTAATCATAGTTGCTCTCGTCCTCAAGGCCAAGGCTTCCGAGCTTTAAGCACAACGGTATGCACTTTGCAGCTAGTCGGTGCTGGTTCCCATCTCTCGCGAGGACAATTTCGCAACACAAGAGGCCACAGTTAAAGCAGTTTGACAAGGCCACCGAAAATGCTTCGTTGAGGAAGCTGGGCTTCTGTGCCACAGATGCAGCGCATAGGTTTACAGGCCCAAACCATAAGCAAGTGGAGCTTTGGGAGGCTTCTGGATTTCCGTTGTGGCTCCATGGGCATATCGGCGTATCCTTAGACAAATAGTTAAAGGTGCCGTTCGCAGCGGGGGTTCCTCTTCACAAGACTGGGGGCAAGCATTCCTGGGCAGGTATTCTTTGGCAATGTCTCTCCCAAAGCCTTAGTTTCATGTCTGATTTATGCACAGTTGCATCCTCAGGCCGAGCAGAGACGCACTGACAAACGTACATTTGTAACCCTAAGCCCCGGCTTTGTCTGAGGACCCCATATTTACTCCGGCGACTATATCTAACACCCCAACGGATTCTACGAAGTTTGAAGCCTGCAACATCATCGGCGCCGCACCGTGCTTTCTCTGGCTGCAGTTTCGACGCATCACAATCACGTTAGGGTTTCAGACCACTCATGTACTGAGCTGGCTACTATGCTAGGATAGGCTGGCCATGAGAAGTCCAGCCCGAAATGCAAACCGCAAACCTTAAACCATAAAACGGACCACACAGCTTAGATTTTCACCAGCTGTTGGCACCGCTGCGAGCTTCGAGAAGATGCCAGGGACACGACTTTCCCAAGCCTCCACAGAAAGAAAGTTCCGGGTGTGTTCATAAGACTCTTCAGCGCTTTCTAATAAGGGGCCTTCGGGACTCAAGGATCTAGGAATTCCAAGGGGAGCGACGGGTTTGGAGGCTTTGGAGGTACCTTGAGGTTTCGGCATGTGTGAGTAGCAGGCTTTGCAGTTTTGCATGTTCGTGGCTGATCGGTTCATAGCTGGGCCGGGCGACCCGAGGCGTGAATGCTTTTAATAGCAGCAGAAAGCCAAATAGATTTGCATAGCCACCTTTGTCTACAAGCCCACGATAGATGAGAGCTTCTCCGTTACCGTTAGTGCCAGTCAGATTTCTGGTTGAGTTTCTCCTCAAAGCACCCTGGCAAGTTAAGCTCGAAGCCGTCACACCCAGCGTTCACCACCGCCGCATAAAGCCAGGGGTTCAGGACAAGTGACTCCTTTGGATGGAGACATCGGATTTGGCCGGACTGAACCCCAAACACTAAACGCCTAAAGTATTCAGCCCCCAAATCCCTACAGCCTACAGCCCATACCCCCAACCGGAACCCCAAACCAAGTCGAAACCTCAAATGCAACTCCTTATCCCCGCCATACCGAAACCCTTTTTACCCCAATCCCCCAAGCGTCCCGACAAAGCCTGAAAGCCCAGTTTCGACCGTGGCCTATCTGCCGTCCTGCGATGACTTCGAGCATGAAGATGGCCTTCCAGGCTCTTGCGGAGGGTTTTCAGAGCGGTTTTAAAGACTCTTTAAAGGGTTTATCATGGTTTCAGAATGGGCTTTGCAGGATTCAAAACGCGACGGCTGGCTTGCTAAAGCTAACAGACGTGGAAAAGAAGCACTGGTTTCACAGTGCGTTTAAGGGGTTGCATAGTTTGTAAGGGGTTTACGAACCGTGTTCCAGATTTCAGAAAATACTTGCAAGGGTGTTGCATTGGGGGTTGGGTTTCAAAAGGGGTACATGTAAGTTAGTTTGGTTTGTTGCTTCTGGTTATTCGTAGTTGGTGTTGTGATTATGACTGTGGCACATTTATTGGTGGCTTCGGAGTTGCGGTGATCATTGTCAACATTACTCCGTTGCTGGGGGATAGGTTCGCAGGGGTCCGGACACAGCGGCAGAGTTGTCGTGATCCGATTTCGACGCTCATAGTGCTGCAGCAAACTTGCTTTGCGCGAAAGTGGGGCTTTGCGTCATGATACGTCCAGCCACTGCTAGTGTTTTTAAGTCACAACCTTCTGGTTCCATCTGTATTATGTACGTGCTGCTAGGGGTATTGCCTCGTCAATGCTGCGTCTGCCTTCCACTACCACTACTAACCACCACCACGACTGTCACCGCTGCCACCACCACCGGGCCACCAAGTGTACTTCCACAACGAGGACTGGTGCTCCGATTCGAGAGGCATTGGTATTCGCGGCAGCAGGTGACGACCTCGCCATTCCTTTTTCAGGGCGAGGACTGTGACAAAGGCGCTTTTGTCGGGGCCTATTGTTTTTCTCGGATTTTATGTGTTTCGCAGTGTTTTTGACTATGGGCTGCGGCGAATGAAAGACAAGAGCGAGAAAACAGAGGGAGAGAGCGCGAGAAAGAAAGAAAGAAAGAACTAGCCCCGAAGCCCCTAAACCTTGAACTCAATTTCTTGCCAGGCCCCAGGCCAAAAACGCAAGTCACAGTCAAACAATCAACATATTCGCGACAACTCTCCACCGTTCATAAGACATCCGACACATCGCAGCTGACCTAAACAGCGTTCGTCGCAGGCCAGGAAGGCCAAAGGAATGGCAGATGATCTGGCAGAGAAAGCAGGCCGCGTTTCGATGGGTAGGACAAAGTATTAACCCTCAAATGCATGCGAAGATATGTCTAAACAATCAGCACATGAGTGTCGAGCCCGTCTCCCTTTGCTCAAGCCTTCGTCGCAGCTTCAGTGCAGGGCCCCTAAGCCTAGTACATCATGTACAACTCCCCAACCCAAAACCTTTTGCATTCCGGATGGATGCCTGAAGTGTGTGGCGCGACGACTCGTTGGCCACAACAAGGCCGCTGAGAGCCGATATGCCCTTATTGTCGTAGGCTGGGGGCTTGGGGCTTCGAGACAAGCTTTAACATTTCAATGACTTGAGGCTTGAAAGTTGGGGGCATTCAATCGCAGGTCTGCATGCAGAAAATCAGATTTGCTTGGTTTCGGGGTTGATCGATGGTTCGAGGCTTGATCGCCCTGGACGGCCTGAGCAAGAAAAAGTCGGTGCCGCAGCGTCCCCATTTTGTGTTCCAAGAGCCATGGACGCAGAGCATAGAGCTCTTGATACTCAGGAAGCCCTGAGCACGTGTTCTGGAATGTTTGAAACCTATAGGCTCGGCTCTGATGTTGAACCCGTTGAGCCTGAAACCCCACCCCCAGTCTCAAACCGAGGACCCCTTCAACTCTCCAAGACAGGAGCTTCGTAGGCATTGGAACTTGCAATCGGCCCTCATGGAGACTGCAGCACAGCCCCCAGCGACACCGAGCTCTAATGCCACGCGGCTCTCAGTTCTAAACGACACCGGGCGGACGGGGGTGGAATCGATGGCCCAGACCCTTAAGCGTGGTGTTTGTGGCTGCTGAGTTTCGATTCCGAGACATTCCAACTGAAGGCTCAGCAGTTGTGGCAGTGCTTCTAGAAGCCACGCCAGCTGCTCGTATGTCGAGAGAGTTGTGTCTCGCTCCTGGGTTCTCAGGCCCCGAGCCTAAAGTACCCTTGACTGGCCCCGGAACCTCACTTCGTAAGTCTTGCTTTTGGTGTCAGGTTGTCGTGCTTGGTTCGGTTGCGGGTTTCCCAGGTTGCAAGCAGTACCAAGCTTCCTGGCTTGCGTGTTTGGGGCCAGGGTTGTAGGAAGCACAGCAGCACTGCAGGGGCCTTGCTGGTGCCGTTGTTATGGCTTCGACAAGCCCCAGCTGGCGGTGATCAGAGTTAGTCCCCGAAACGCTCTTAGGACCTGAAGCAACGCCCAAGGCAACACAGCGCCTTGCACTGCATGTCAATGCACGCCGGAGGCTACCAATGCCACTCAGCTTGTTTCGATTGAGATGCACCCTACGGCTACCCCAGCTCCATGTCAGAACATGCATACCGCGGCGGATCTCGAAATCGTAACAGCATACCGAGAAATGTTCCAAAGTTGCCAGCATAGATCCCCAAACGGCGGAGGATCATACAGCAACAACATCACGACGCTTGGTTCTCCCCGCAGCTCCCCATTTGCTCACAACCGCACTCATATTGCTCTGAGCCTCAGATGCGATTGGAGATGCAGGCTCAGCCCGCGAGTCTCTCTCTCTCTCTCTCTCTTGCTCTCTCTCCGTCTTTTTTTATCACAGACTCGTTCCACGTTAGACTCCGTTAGACCTCACCTCCTCAGCCGTCTTTACATCTCTACCTCCCTGTATCTAGCCGCTAGCCCCTCTGAACAAACCGCTTAGAAACCTCGGTGGCAAGCTCTCCTAAGCCCAAGGCATCCTCCCGCCTTTTTGAGTGATCTCTTCCAATAATGGTTGTAACTCTGATGCTAGTTCGGTTGGCTTCAAAAAATGTGTCATGAGGTGAGGAGCCTGATGAGCCTGGAAAATCCGAAAAGCTGCAGGCTGACGGCCCCAAACGCACTTGCCCCACCCCCGGCACCCCAGCTCCCGCAGCCTGCATGACCTCACTGACCCAAGACAGCAGGATCCACAGTTTGAAGAGGGGCTCATAAGCTCCAGGCGCTGAATCTCTGAAGCCCCAAAGCCCTACACCGTTTCCGCCTATAGTCACCTAGTCCCTACACCCGCCCTTCTTTGCTTCCCGAGGTCTCCGGCCAAAGTGGCCCCAGCCACAGCGAGGCCCCCACCGACCACAGCCCGCAGCTCCCTATGGACCACCATGGAGACGCCTGGAATTCAGAGGGTCTTCCCTTAACTTTGGCGATATTGTCTGCGCAGTTTCCGGATTTACTAGCAATCATATCGCTAGTAGTAGTAGTCGTCGTCGTCGTAGTAGTCGTAGTCGTAGTCGTAGTCGTAGTCGTAGTCGTAGTAGTAGTAGTAGTAGTAGTAGTAGTAGTAGTAGTAGTAGTAGTAGTAGTAGTAGTAGTAGTAGTAGTAGTAGTAGTAGTATATAGTAGTAGCAGCAGCAACAGGAGTAGTAGTAGTAGCAGTAGTAGTACTAGCAGTACTAGCAGTACTAGCAGTACTAGCAGTACAAGCAGTAGTAGCAGTAGTAGTAGTAGTAGTAGTAGTCGTAGTAGTAGTAGTAGTAGTAGTAGTAGTAGTAATAGTATAGTAGTAGTAGTAGTAGTAGTAGTAGTAGTAGTAGTAGTAGTAGTAGTAGTAGTAGTAGTAGTAGTAGTAGTAGTAGTAGTAGTAGTAAGTAGTCGGTAGTATATATACGTGAGCCTAAATACCTTCAACATCTCACATGTACTTGTGACAGGATCAGGTAATTAGTAGCTATATCATGGAAGATATTGATGTAAGGAATTATACATACTTGTGCACATACATGCATATGTCATACGTAAGGTGTATGTATACATATAAGTAACTAATTAAGTTTAAATCAATATATGTACACAACTGCGAATGAATAATATGCGTAAATATATATATATATATATACACACATATATATATACATATATATATACATATATATATATATATATGTATGTATGTATGCATATGTACATAGACGGTTTAGGCTGCTTCTGTAGTCATGGGCTGAGGAAGAAACATTTGGAGCTGGAGCTCCAGAGCTTGCGCGAGGCTTCCTGTTTAAGTTTCAGGTTTCGGGGCTCGAGAGTTGAGTGAATTTTGTTGGTGTTTCTGCGGTTTTGGATGTTTATGTTTTTTGTTTCGAAGGTTTGGGATGCTTTGTGTTCGGGTGCTAGAGTATAGAACCTAGTACAGGGTGTTGGACTTTGAGTTTGGGGGACTCAGGTTGTGCTTTGACATAAAGGGCCTGGTGGTCCTCAGGCTGTAGACATTTTGCTGTAGTCCGGTAGTGAAGTCCAGACTTTCCTAGATCGAAGTGAAATCGTGAAGCGGATAGAATAGGGTTGATCACATCCCACCTAGGCTGCAGCTCAAGAAGATTCGCTGGTGCGGTTGGCTAGTAGAGTGCATGCAGACATTGATGGGACCTCATGCAGACAGTCTAGGGAACTAAAGATACGACTCTCAGAAGGAGAAGCAGAGTGCCAGGCCAAGGAGAGGCACCCCAAAGCGAGAGCCGAGTCGCTGCGCATCCACGAAAATACTCTTCTCCCCGATGATGTCAGCCCCACCAAGAAGCCAGCGCCTTCAAAGAGGAATCCTGCTCCTGTCCTTTTGCTGTAGGTTTCACTATGCTTTGAGGCTACAGGGTTTAAGGTTTACGACAAGCCAACTGTCCCGAGAGGCTTATGCCAGGAAGATTTCCGACACTGAGCTTCAGCCCTTCGTCGTGCAAGACGGTGGTATTTCAGCGCAGATCAATGTGAGCAAGTTCGGGAACAGATTCGAAAGCATGTACCCACAAGGAGACCACAGCACAGTGCAGGGGTCCAAAAACGCTTGAGCCCCAAACCTCAAGCCGGCAAACAGCCATGAATTCCTTCTGAGGGGGTTCAAGACATGGAAGTCTACTGAAAGTGCGCGTCGGAAATCGCGCGTCGCCTTTCTACTCAGGATCTTGCTTCTGCAGCTCCAAATGCTATAGGCTTCTTGACATTTACGAAGCTTTGAGTTTTTTTAGATGGCTCGAAAGGTACAGTACCTAGACCAGAAGCAACCCCACACCCCTTAACACAAGCCCTCCGAGCCCCTAAACCCAAAGTTTCCAGAGGTGTGAGAAGCAGATCGAAGCCGCAGAGGTGCAGAGAGTCGGGGCATCGGTGCTCTGCTTCCGGAAGCGGTTTGGGGTTTAGCGGAAGGTAGCAGGGAATTCCCATCATGACCAACGGAGCACCAAGAATGAAGGGGCTTTTCTGAGCTGCTGGTTCCTTGGGGCGAGCTTTCATGGATGTACAGCTAACAGCTAACACCCCGATCGACTTACACAGGCCTCTGCATTTGGCACTCGTTCGTCCTTTATGTGCCTCCAGGCGGATCGGAACGAGTGGTTCAAGAAGAAGAAGGCCGAGTTGACAGGGAACGTGGGGGGACGAGTCCCAGACTATGTGACTCTGCAACCTATTTTTAATTTCTATATACTGAGAGTGCATATATATATACTCATAGTATGCATGCAAACAAATGAAAAGCTTCATACATACTCCACACATACAGATAGACATATATATATATATATACATATACATGTGTACATATATACACCTAAATGTATATGTGCTATGACCTATCATTACATGGAACCTGCACATTGTAGTTCATGCTGGGGATTCATGCTGGTTTCTGGTGACACGTGCCGGGCAACCAGCTAAACATCGGAAACCTTCGCAGGAATAGTCGGAGGCATGGAGCCTGTGGAAATGTGTGCTTTAGGATGCCGGGAGGGCTTCATGTAGCTAGGAAACAGATACATGAAGGGTTTTTGAGCTTGTTAGAGCTGGATATACGTGGCCGGTTCGCTGAGCCGTGTGCAACAGTGCGGCAAAAGTCGGCGTGGAGGTACATAGCATAGCTAGGCTAGACCCATAGTTGCAAGAGTCCTGGCGTAAGACCGGAAAGCTTTTGGGGCCAGGTGGAGATTGCGAAGATCCGCGCCGGCGTCATCGTGATGCAGGCAATGAGGGGGGTTTCTTCATATTGGCGGTCCTTGTGAGCAAACATCCCAGTATTTCGGGCTTCGTCGTAGGGATTGGAAGAAAGTCCGTCGTTTGCTGAACCTGAGATCGGCAAGCATAGACCCTAAACCCATGATTAACGCAGAATGAGGTCTCATTCTTGTACTCCACTGTTCTTACTATTATTCTGTGAAAGTCTTGAAGGGCTTGAGGAGTTCGAACGGGTTCGTCTTCGGTACAACGTGGCTGTCGAAAGGCTCACGGCGCCTTAAAACCAGCTCTCGACCATCAACCCTCGCAACTCCTATCGAATTTTTCTCCAAGCAAGAACATGTCAGCATGTTTCTTTACAATGCATGCTATGCCAGTGATGGCTATGCTTCTGCCGATCATGGCTGTGTTTCTGCCGATCATGGCTGTGCTTCTGCCCATCATGGCTGTGCTTCTGCCGATCATGGCTGTGTCCGCTTGAGCACGCGAACAAACATCAGCAACGACCATAAACAGCTCCACTGTTTATCTTTACACATGGTCGCTCAGAACTCAAGGCTGCATTCAGAGGTTTCTTCACCCCTCCTTGGTGGCGACGTCAGTCGCTTCACCATCTCATCGTAGCCACCCTGTGCCACGGTACTCGGTCTCTTCCCTTTGGCCCCGAACACATTTCTGGCACACATCGCGTTCCTGGAACCTCGTCGACTTCCCGGTCGAACACGATCTTGAAGCATGAACGCACGTCCCTCTGGGCGTCATAAACACTTTCTTGGGAATGTCTCCCAAGAGTTCACACTGCGTCGCTGCTTCACTTGTCCTTGGGGTTCTTCCGAAGCGTTTGACCAGCGAGGGCCTTTCGTTCCATGCTGGATCATCCCAACTTGACATAGGTGCAGCTGGTGTGATCTTCGTGCCTTTCCTTGTAGGTCTTTCTGGGAATAGTTGAGGAGGTGGGGAAACTGCACGAGGTTTCTCCTCCTCTGGCCTTATTCCTGCAGAGCACGTAGGGTCCGAAGTAGGGCTGGACTTCCTTCTGGTACGGGAGGAGGTAACACTCATCCCAACGGCCTCAGATACGTCCGATCCGCATAGGTCCGCCAGGTGGATCAAATCAACCCGCTCCTCTCGCGACAGCGTTTCCGGATCCCTCTGCAGCAAGGCGCTCAACGTCCTCAGCTCGACCTTTGAAAGCCGCTGACGATCTCGTGACGCCTCGAGGCTTCTCAGCCTGACCACTTCACTCCTTCCCTTGATCACGCCCTTGCAGCCTTCCCATATTGCAACAGCACATATCACCAGCATTGTCACCAACACGTACAGTTCCCAGGAGCTACTTATCGCAAGGGGCTCCGGAAGCGGGTCAGTTTCGGAAACCCTATGACCCTGTACGCTAGATATAATCTGAGCTAAAACCAATAGCCCGGTACAGCAACCCAAGTTACCCCCGTGGGCTGTTGACGGTGGCTGTGGTCTTGTTGCTTCGCTTGTGGTCTGTTGCTCTGGTGCTGCCTGGTGCTCAGCTGTTGTGGGGTGTTGCTGCTGCTCTGCGGTTGCAGGGTGCTGCTGCTGATCTGCTGGAGCTTGACGGCACCGAACACATTCTCTGGCGTCTTCACCCCGAGGTAGATCTTCTTTTCGCCCAAGTCCCCACCTTCGCATAAGCATTTCCATTCTCTTTGAAGGCAGGATCTTTGTAAGGCCATCTGCCAACTGCCACTCTCCCGGACAATAGGCAATGCGCGCCCATCCTTCTTGGATCCGCTGCCGTAGTGCCGCCGCCCTCACTTTCAGGTGGCGTGTTCGCCAGCTCCCTCCTTCTTCAGAAGCCAGCGTGATCGCTGCCGAGTTGTCGACCCTAACTTCTCTCGATAGAGGAACAATCCCAACGTCCGACAACATAGCATCGATCGAGTAGGTCAGCGTCGCTCCCTCGGACGCCGCAAGCAACTCTGTCTCCGCACTGCTGGTTGTTACCAGCGACTGCCGGCCGCTTTTCCATGCGACCGGTGACCCTGCCCAAAACACAACTGCACCGCCATGGCTTTTTCCTCCATCTGGGGAGTAGCTGCTGTCGGTGTAGGTCACCAAGTCCGGACTGCCCCCAGCGAAGAAACTCAGCTTCCATTGCTTCGTCGCATTCAGGTAGGCGAGGGTCTTGCAGTCTTGCGGCCGATGGTCGCAACTCTCTCTGGGTCTTTCGTCGTCAAGCTTCCCATCACGCTCACCGTGTAGGACAGGTCTGGCCTACATCGCTGGGCCAGCCATGCCAGCTCTCCAGTTATCGACTGGGCAGCACGTTAGGTGTTCCTGATTGTTCCTGACTGTACGTGGTAGGGTAGCCTTCAGGGTCCATTGTCAACCACTCCTTGGCCGACGGTAACAGGGACTTTTCAGTGGGGCTCACCGCATGTTGTCGTAGAAGCTCTTCGATGTACCCCTCCTGGTCCAAGGTGTAGTTGGTGATCTCCCCCTCTTCGTTTGTCTCCTGTCTGATTTCCATTCCCAAAAACCGTACAGAGGCGGAGGACTCAGCGTACTGGCACGGCGTGACCTCCCAGGTTGCAGCCATCCATTCGTAGGCCTCGTCCGTCACCCATCCTGGTCCCAGGATAAGGAAATCATCCGACGTAGACGATCATCAACCCACTTGTTGTCTTTCCATCTGGGCCTTTGATCTGCCACACGTCAGCGTCGGCTTGTCCTTGGATAAAGGTGAGGCCGCTCTTGGTCTTTGCCTGCTTCATCTTTTGGGTCCTGTGACCACTCCACCATCGAGGGGAGGATCTAAAACCATACAGGGCAGTTTGCACGACCCAAATCTCATCTGCTTCTGCCAAGCCGGCCTTGACCAACGCGATCGGTGGTCGCAGCGCCAACCTCGTTCCATCTGGCACTGGGGCTCTGAGAAATGCGCTAACCACATCTCCAGTGCATGCGCTCCAGCCGCCTCTGCAATGCCCAACCGCACTGCTTCCGCCACAGCACCTCCGGAGTAGTTGATCTCGTTGTCGGCCTTGGGCTGGAAGTTTCCGCACGACACGATTCTAGCTTTTCTTCGAAACCTCGTACCCTCCTTTGTCGGAGGTTTCACTGTGAATACTGCTTTGCCCGGGACTATCACAGCCCCTGGCTGGGCCATGTAGTCCCGTGCCGCTTGGCCTCGCAATCTTTTGACATCGCCAATACTCTCCAGAGTGCTAATCTCGGCGTTCAAGGCGGGGATCCACTCGTCAATGGCCTCCTCGACCTCCTTCGGGTGGACCGTGTGGACCACCCTCAAATCGCCCTCCAGCTCCGCAAGGATCTTCTCGATGCCCCTGGTGTAGAGGTTTTCCACCGCCGCCTTCGAGCATCTCGTGATGTCCTCGTCCACTTCCACTGGAGAGTCTCTGTTGCTGAGGTCCCCCAGGCAATCGCCTTCGTGCACTTCAAACTCCATGTAGCGGGTTTGCTCCGCCTCCTCCCGGATGGCCTTTAGTCTCGCCTCGAAGTCTTCTTCATCAGGCACAGCAAAACCACACTCGAGTAGCTCTTCCCTCATCTCAGCGGTGAGCTTCCTCCATGAGTTGATGGTGTGTCCCGCAACCAAGATGCGAAGTCCCTCGGTTCCTTGGACGGGGCTATGCCATCTTCGAGGATTCACCTTCACAGGCTCCGTGAGGTGGATCTGACCTGGGACCTCAGTTCCATTGACGTCCATAGCATGATATTTTCCACGGAACATATCGCCCGGTTGAAGCTTCTCCCACACGCCTGCGCCCTTTGTTGTTTTCAGCGGAGATATATTCAAGGTTGTGGGAGTACTTGTCGTTGAAAGAGTCCCTGTGCGTTGGCATAACAGCATTCCTCACAATCGTTGCCGACGTGAACACCTCCATTGGAAAGTCCATCTTCAGCAACTGGGTCACCTTCTCCGTGAGCTGCGGGGCCTCCTTTGTGTACTTCGTTATGCCAAACTTTCCCCCAAAGTTAAAAGCCCCAACTGTGGAGTAGCTGGTGTCCTCGCGGTCTCCGTCCTCAACAGTCAGCTGCGGCCTTTTCACTTTATGCACTGGGTCCTTCTCCATCAAGTCCAGGATCTCCTTCACAAGAGCGGCTCGCTCCCTCGCATAGTTCTCTTTCTCTATCTTCTTGATAGCGAGCCCATCTTCACCAATGGGCCCCTTTTTGAGTAACCTTCGCACCGGTCTCAAAGGTAGCACATCGATCTCGTCCTCATCTTTCAAAGCTCCGGGATCATGTAGACAGGCTCGTAGGTGGGTGGTGACCGTGAAGCGATTAGTCTCGTCTTCCAAAATGGCTGAGCCGCCATTCACATCCCACACCGGCCCCATGTAGACCCCTTTAGTCCAGTGAGGTAGTAGATCGTGTCGGCCACGATCTCCGTATCTTTTCTTCTTGATCGCTACTCTGGTTCCGTAGGGACAGGGAACCAGAGGATCTTCTGGTCGGAGCCGTTCTTCACGTTGTCGATGAGCCGCTGCATCCATTGCCGTGGCCCAGTGCTCGGTCCCCATGCCAGCCGCGCGCAACAACGTTCGAGCTCGCCCCTTCAGAAACCGCACTGCCCTTTCGGCTGTTCCGTTACTTTGAGGGGCTTGCCCCTCCGTCCTCGTGAGCCAAATGTTGTTATCCAGCGTCCACGCCCTCAAAGCCGGCGACCTTAACTCATGAGCCCGATCTGAATGGATTCTGAGGACTGGAAGATTTTCTTGCCGTAGCTGTAGCACCACCTCTTGGATCGCCCTCATATCCTCCTTTCCGGTCTTCGTCTTGAGGGGCTTGATGAAATAGAGGTGGTCAATCGGGATCTCGTGGTTCCCTTCCAGCGGCTCGTCATCTGCCGCCATCTTCTCTTGGTCCTCAGCCACCAACTCGTCGTCATCCCACAGCTTATCCGCCGCCTTCATTGCTTGGATTTGCGGGGCCAGGTCCTCGCTCACCTCGGGTTCCGACAGCTCTATGTCCGCCAGCTCAGATTCAAGTAGTGCCCGCTGCGCCTCCTCGTCCAAAGGCTCATCAGACCCCTCCTCAACACTCAAATCTGAAAAGTCGTACTCCGAGGAGGCCATGTCGCCTGGCTCTGGTTCGGGAGGGGGTTCTTGGTCAGGAAACCTGGGCATTGAGTAAGAAGCCGCCAAGAAAAACCGATACCCGCTTCCTTGGGTGTTTCTGCTTTGATTCTCATGGGGCCCCCAACGTCCACGCTGAGACGTAGGCACTTCTGCTTGGTGCGCCTATGCTGTTTCCCGGACCCCATCATCATGACGCAGTACTCACAGTCCTTTTTGAAAGGTACGTGATCTCTTTTCACATGCAGCTTCCACCCTTGTTCCGCTGTTAGCTTCCGCAGTTCTTCTTGCGGCTGCCACACAGCCGTTGAAGCTATACCAGCCATTTGTAATGCCGTCATCAATGACCTCCTCACCCTCGCCGTAGCTGAGCTCCACGACATAGCCGAAGGTCCGGGCTGGTCACCTCCATCTTGTAGGAATTCCTTCAAATTGATATTGTCGCAGATGGTGATTGCCGCTCCCTTTCGATCCTCTTCCCCGGTCGGCCCCATCGTCGTAGTAGTCGCTCCCAAAGGCTTCACAACCTCGAGGAACTCTTTCATCATTGGGGTTTGCCACATGTCAATTCCATCTTTTGCTTCGGAAACTCCCGTAGGGTCTCCCGGGTTGCTCATCATCCAACCCACCGGCCTTCCTTTGGAACACGTGTGGGCCACCAGGTACAAGAGGATCTGCCTGGCAGTGAGCGAGGTCTCCTTGTTCACATAGTACATCTCTGTGGGCGATAAACCGGTGATCCCGTAGGGATCCTCCTTGGTTCTCCAGGGCTTCGCGTCCTTTTCTTTCACGCACGGCCTGGGATCGTAGGTCTTCGCCGGCGGACTCCCGATCACCGCCTTGACCCTTGAAGTCATTGGGCCCCACATCAACGCCTTGTAAGCTGGGCCTCGCATGCTCCATCCACCGTGCAACAGAATCTCCACGTTGATGGCAACGACCTCCGAGTTGGTGTCGACGTTCACCTGGCCATTCAGCGACTGCACTGGGTCCTGCTTCAAATTCTCCGGCCACCGTAAAGATTTAGAACCCAGGCTTTGGACCGCATCAGCTTCTTCCGGATCCTCCTTGACACAGGGAGGCCCTTCAGGTACTCCCACCCAGGCTTGTCGTTCGCCTCCACATTCGGCACCATTCCCATCAACACCTCTTCGGGGAGTCCCTTGAAAATGGGCGATTTGTAGAGGACCTGCAATCCGTCCACAACGCACCCTTCGGAGGCGTAGGCTGCGAGGTCTTGTCTCCAGTCCTCTGTCTTCGCCTCCATCATCCGAATCGCGTTGAGGCGGTCCTGCAGCTCCAGTGTCCTTTGGCGAAGCTCGTCCATCCTTCGCGACTCTAGCTCTGAGATCAACCTCGCCGCCTGCACTGGGTCCGCTATCTCTGGGCAGCCTGCTCGGATCCTCGTGCGGATGGTCCCGTACTTGGGATGCTTCAGCATCAAGCCTCCTCGCGTCCACTTCAAAGTGCACCCGAGAGACTCAACGAGCCCCCCGAGGGGCAGTATGGTTTGAGCCTCCTTCCCCTGGGTTGGGTCTAGGATGATACTTCCTGCTGGGGTTTAACGTAGTAGACGCTTCTCATCTCCAGCCAGCACCACGGGCACCTCCTTGCTCGTGAGATGCTCTCGCTCGTCTCGAGCAGGTCTCAGGACGTGCGTTGCTCCTGAGTCGAGAAGAGCACCGCGACGTTCATCTTCAGTGGTTTGCGGCGTGCTCACCTTGAGGGCCTTTAGCTTCATCTCGTCGAGCTGGCGCTGGATGGACTCATATGTTGGTGCCCCGGATGTAGTCGTGGCTGCCGGGGTTGTCGTTGCCATCATGGTCTTCAGCATTTGATGGGCGTCGGTGAGAATCTGCTGGAGGTCCCCAGAAGGCTCCTTGGTTGAGCTCGCTGGACTGCCAGCCGGTGACGGCTCGGGACCTGGTTGCGGTGGTTCCTTTTGACCACCTCCAGTTGCCAACGATCTCGTTGCCGGGGAAGCCACTGCCGTAGACGATGAAGCCGCTGCCCCTCCGCCTTTATCTCCCTTCCCCTTCTCTTTTGGTCCAGACGTAGGCGACTGCTGAGCTGGTTCTCCCTGCTTCTTCGTTGGGCAGTCCTTCTTCTGGTGTCCCAGGGCCGAGCATAGCAAACAACGTCCCGTTTTCGCCGTCGTCCCCCAATCATGTTGGAACTGACATTCCGCTCCTCGACGACATCCATCATCTGACTTTGCAAACCATTTGCAGAGCTTCTCTTTCTTGTCTGGCCTCGCCTTCGCTCCAGGTGTCGTCTTAGTAGTTGACGTGGCATCCGGCGTGGCGGCTGCACTCTTGATCCTCGGCACGGACCGCGAAGCTGCAGAAGGCGCTGTGCTCAGAAGCTCCATTTCGGCCTGCAAGTGCTTGTGAAAGTCCAAAGTCGTTTCTTCAGTGGGGTTACTGTCTAGCTGCAACCGATTTCTCATCATCGTTGTTCTCAGCCACACGTCTTGATTCTTGACGAGGACTGGGGCCACAATCAGCGCCAGGCCTTTCACCATGAGCACAGGATCAGGCACCGCGACCGTCAAGTCCTTGGCCCTCGAGAACCATCTTCCCCACTTCCTCAGCGCCTGCACGGCCAGCTCCGGAGTGGACGCTCCCTCCGGAGTTGTAAGCTGCTCCAAAAGAAGCGTTTTCTCTTGCTCACCTCCCGGTCTGTAGGTCGTGAACAGCTTGAACACGAGTGAAAGCGATGATCCTGTAACCTTCTTCGTCACCATCTCGCTTTTCACCTCTGCCGGCAAAGCTCCCAGGATCATGCCCGCCGCCCTTGCATTAACTCTGCCATACTTTCCTTGCTCCAACTTTGAGTCCCGCGGCAAAGCCAGGGTGAGCTTCTCCATCGGCGTCGCAGTGACCCACTTCTTGTAGTGCTCGTCCGCCACCGCTCTCACACCAGACCACCACTCATGGCTAGTGTCTGATAAGTCGCCCATGATCGAGCCCACCTCCTCTAGCCAGTCCTGGATATCCACTGGGCTTGTGTCCTTTCCAGGGGGATCCAGATGAGGCAGGGAAGATATCCCTGGTTTCACGAGCTCGGGACCATCCTTCTTGTCCATCTGACGTAGTTGTACTTCGTGCAGTTGCCGCATACCTGTAGCGATCACGCCCAAAAGCTCCATTGGGGTTGGTTGTGTTGCCGTCTCGGTGTCTGGACTCTTGGGTCTGGCATCATTTCTTGCGGACCCCTCCTGACCCGAACGACCTTGTGACATAGGCTCTTGTGGACCCACCGCATGCGAAGCTTGATCACCTTGAGGTACGTCCTGAGAGTGCAACGCCCGATCTCCATGAGGTACATCCTGAGAGTGCAACGCCCGATCTCCATAAGGTACGTCCTGAGAGTGCAACGCCCGATCTCCATGAGGTACGTCCTGAGAGTGCAACGCCCGATCTCCATGAGGTACGTCCTGAGAGTGCAACGCCCGATCTCCATGAGGTACTCCTTGCGAGTGCAATGCCCGATCTCCTTGAGGTACTCCTTGCGAGTGCAAAGCCCGATCTCCATGAGGTACTCCTTGAGAGTGCAATGCCCGATCTCCATGAGGTACTCCTTGAGAGTGCAATGCCCGATCTCCTTGAGGTACTCCTTGAGAGTGCAATGCCCGATCTCCATGAGATACTCCTTGAGAGTGCAATGCCCGATCTCCTTGAGGAGTTCGAACGGGTTCGTCTTCGGTACAACGTGGCTGTCGAAAGGCTCACGGCGCCTTGAAACCAGCTCTCGACCATCAACCCTCGCAACTCCTATCGAATTTTTCTCCAAGCAAGAACATGTCAGCATGTTTCTTTACAATGCATGCTATGCCAGTGATGGCTATGCTTCTGCCGATCATGGCTGTGTTTCTGCCGATCATGGCTGTGCTTCTGCCGATCATGGCTGTGTCCGCTTGAGCACGCGAACAAACATCAGCAACGACCATAAACAGCTCCACTGTTTATCTTTACACATGGTCGCTCAGAACTCAAGGCTGCATGCAGAGGTTTCTTCATATTCCTAGTGTTGCTGTCCCGGTTCTTCTTCTCACTGCGATCGTCAAGTCCAACCCTTTATGTGTGGATAGTTGGGTTCCCAACCCCCATAAATCCCAGAAGCCACAAGCTGTCGGAAGGCTTTGTTTGAGCGGCGGAAGCGGAAGTTCATCCGGCAGATGGAAGAAGAAAGAGCCGGCTGGGCTGCATCGTCTGAGGGCTTCAGGGCTTTGCGGGTTTATGTTTTAGGCTTTGCTCGGTGGCATTTTCCTTGGTGGTTTTTGTTGCCGGGTGGTTCGGTGCTCAGGGCTTGCGGATGGGGTTTCGGCAGGTCGTTCACTTTCAGGTCTTGGTCAGGCTTCTGGTCAAGACAGGGATTTGAACAATATCTGATTATGTAGTACTATGACTATTCCCATACCGTGCCGATATTAGGGCTTCTCAAAATCGAAATGCCTTGGAAGGTTGTTCCTGTTCTTCGGCTTTGGGGTTCGGGGTGTTGGGCTCAGCGTGGGGGGGACCATGAATTCCTAACCAGACATTCGAACATGGCGGGGGGCATACCAAAACCCTCAGGCCCTAAAGCCAAAACCCCAACACTTCCCACGTTCTCACCTGAGGTTGACATGCAAGCCGACCGTCTCGCACCACCCTAAAGCCCTAAAGGGCCTTGAAGCTTCAAGCCAAGGAGCAGACAGCCAAGCAGAGAAAAGAGATGGACGAAAAGATGGCGGCCATCGAGAAAAAACTGGCTGACACCACGGAGGAATATGAAAGCAGCCGCTAGAAGCACTGGAACTTTGAGGAGTGCTGCCTTAGTATTGGGTAAGCCATATGTAAAGACGGGTGTGGCAACGGGGCCTTCTGTCAAGGATCCTGCGACCTGGGATTCCTGTTCATAGTTTTCTTGAGCTCATAAAGTAGCGGACTCTGAGGGTGGGTTTTGAGCACGTCACAGCACTTTAAGGTCTTGCCTTTTGAGGCGTCTGGCCATACAAAGAGAAGTGAAAGAAGTTCCACTAAGGCCCATTGACATGGACATACATTTGTACGTACATTCCACCGCCAAAAGTGGAATCGACGGAGAGGTCACAGTTATGATTCGCTCCACCGCCCACACCATGCCCCCAGATCACTGCAGCAAAGTTTGCGAATGGACTTCCTAACCCCAAGCTACAAACACCAGCACATGTCATCCTCGGGTCTGAACGGAAGTTGAAAGCATCGCTTCAAGGCCCTACACTTTCCTGTCCTCGCCCAGGAATTGCCGAGATGCAGGTATCCCATGAGAAGAAAGTGGCCGATTTGGATAAGTTGCAGCGCACGACAGAGGTGACACATGCACGGCTACGGATTGGATACAGAGTTAGGGACATGATGGTGGCTATTGTGCCCAAAGGTTTCCGCATACTTTTTGTCAAACGGTAGGGTGGCTTCTGATGCCTCCTACACCGCGCGAGTCTTCCCGAACAGCACCAACTGCCCTAATCCCCGCGCGTGGAGAGCATTGAAGCGGCTGAACCCCAAATAGCCCCAGCATGCCCAACTTTAAGCTGCAGAAGAAAGCCGAATGCTGTAGAACCCGCACAAGCAATCTTGCATTCCCAAATCCCATAGAAGTCATGTTTGAAGGACCGCGGTTGAGTAGTTAGGTAAATCAGGCAGAGTTTCAACCTGTACAACCCTGATCTGAAGCAAACAACAAGCCTCCTGAGCCTCCAAGTAGACTAGACTTCCGTGGATAAACCCTCAAAGGCTTATGCCTTCGAAAGCCCGAAAGAGCTGAATTCCAAAAAGCCTGCCAAATCCCCGAAGCCATCGTAAAGGCCTAAAGCGCCAGAGCCCGCTAAACGCCTAAATTTCGCGAGGAGCAAGCCCTAAAATTCGAGCGGCAAGTGAGGATCGCCGAAGGCGAAATCACGCGGCCGCTTCGCCTCGGGCAGATGTTTTTTGAGCCATAGGCTTTCAGAGTGTAATTTTCCGTTTCACCTGAGAGGGGAGGGTAGTGCGGTTTGAGAGAATAGAGCCTTAGATCCCAGTCTCTTATTGAAATCCTCTTGAAGGAGACACCCGAACCGGCATGTCCTTTGTTGTGACGGACATTCGACGTGCACAGCTCTTTTCCCACTGAAGGTTTATCTGTTTTGAGGATTGCGGGTCTAGGGCCGAGAGGTTTAGGTATGATTGTTTCGGATGTTTAGGTTAATTCGCAAAAAGCTAGTGCATTGCCTGAACCATTTAAATCTTAATCTATCTAAATGCAGGAGGCAAAAATAGGCTCCTTCTTCGAGCCCTACGGGCGTTTTGAGGTGCTATAGAGGTGCCTCGTAATACAGCTCCCAAAGCTTGCTCTGATTATTTGGCCAAGTCCCCTGGATCACGGCGACATAGATGCAGCTTGTGGGATGGAGAAGCCACACAGACCTCCAGGTTTTCTGCCAGTTGGATCCAGCATCGCAAGGAGTTTCGACCGCCTTGCTCAAATGCCCCAAGATAGACAGACACCACGCAAGTTAGGCGAACTGTTTTTTGCCTCCCAGCGTGAAGCTCTTCTACACTATTTTTATTACATCGCCCGGCAATGCCCAGTCCAGCTCATCGAACCCGAACCCCCAGGCCCTTAAAGAGCCCTGAAGTGCTAAGTGCTGAAGCCTTGAGGTTGCAAGAAACCGAAAAGTCGCTTCGCTTCGAAATCGAGGACATGAAAGTCAGGCTACCCGGCAGCAGATGATGCAACAGCGCGCGCGACGGTAGGGTACCTTATTCAGGGCTCAAGAAGATTCTTCCAGGGTTCGAATGCATTTAGGCCCTATGCTTCAGTCTTTCGGGGTAGTTAAGGGCAAGGCATGCCGCTCTGTAGACTGTGCTTATGCATTCAATAAGGAACAGATACAAAGAGAATCGTTGAGATCCTGCCTCAGTCTGTATAGACTCCAAACCCTTCACAGGTCTTTGAAGCAAACCGAAATCGTGATTACATCACTACGAGCCACCTCGCCCCTAAAGCAGGTTCTTTCAATCGCGAGCCCTGTCTGAGGAGTGACTTCGGATCTGCCATGTAAGGACCCGCACGTATCTTCCTGAAACTCCCAGGATATACACCTACGATCATTTCAGAACTCCCCACACCGGCAGACAGTACAACCGAAGGCCCAGCGAGAACGGATTAAAAGCCTTCAACAGTCTGGGTGCCCTAACGCCTCAAACTCCAGCATCCTAAGTCAAGCTAAACTCTGATGATTTCGCCAGACCGAAACAAATTGAACTGAACGAACCGTGACACCTTTGAGCCCCAAACTCTCAAGCTTTCGAAACCTCGTAGAAATTCCCAAAGCCCGAAATCCACCCGCAGCTCGAGGCTCCAAGTCGCGGAGAGGGCCGAAGAGCTCCAAAGATCCCGAGAGAAAGCCGAGTTTCTCGAGGCCGGGACGCAGGGGGAAAAACTGTCAGTCCGTATGAACCAATAAAATTAAATACAGAAGTTGACATATTTTGAGGGAAGAGAAGTACGTGGGTGTGAGGGAGGGGGTCAAAAAAATTTTAAAGGGATCAACAATATTTAGGAGGGATCAAAAAAGACTTAGAACGAATCAAAAACAAACTTACCGTTTACGAGGTAATGTGCTTATTTCCTCGCTTGGCAACCTTCGGCTTCTGGGCTCTTGGCTTCTGTGCTGCCTGGCTCCGCGGCTGTTTTGGCTTCTGGGCTCCGTTGGCTTCTTGGGTTCCTGGCTTCTTGGCTTCCGGGCGGCTTGGCTTCTTGGCTGCTTGGCTTCTTGGCTTCTAGGCTTCCTTGCCGGCTTCTTAGCTTCTTGGCTTCTCGGGTTCTTTGCTTCTTGGCTTTGGGCAGCTTGGCTTCTCGAGTTCTTGGCTTCTGGGCTTCCTCGCTTTTTGGCATCGCAAACTCGCGGCCACTCGCGGCTTCTCGACACTGATCAGCGAAGCCTTGCTGCGTGCCTTTGGGCAAGATGACCTTGTCCGTTTGTTTTCGTGGCATGTCTACCGTGGCACAAGACTATGGAGATTGTCTAGCTGACGGATCAAAAAAGGATCGACAAGAAACTATAAAGGCATTAAAAAGAAAATAAAAAGGGATCAGGTAAAAAAATAAAAACGATCAAAAGACAAATGCATCTTTATTCAAGGGGTACAGTTGGTACAAATATGTGTATACATGTAAAGTGTACATGTATATAAATATAAATATATATATATATATATATATATATATATATATATTCTGTTCTTATTCAATTCCGCTCCCTCGCATCATGAGCGGCATGGTTGACGTGTCAAGCCGTCATGAAGTCAATCAGCGTGACGACCTCGTGCGCACCGTCAGACGACGTGATTCAAGCTTCAACGTGAGATTCAAGGACTCCGTCAATTTCAAGTTATTAACTGCACAAATCATGGCTCAGCTCTTGATTGCGGGGACAGCGCTGCAACAGTCTCTGAAGCACCCGGAAGCTTTTCAAAACATACAAAAGCAAACCTTTGAAGCAGCTGGTACACTACTCCGCAATGGCGCCGGTGGCCAAGTCACCTTTCGACGCGGAGATATTGGAATAGCACTTGCCGTTGTTTGCAGCAAATCTCCAATCCCTAGGTTTTTTTGATCCTTCCTAATTTTTTTTGTGATCCGTGCAGCTTCAATTTGTTTTTGATCCCTTTTAAATTTTTTTTTGATCCTCCACCCTGGGTGTGAAGGGTTTTGGGGCTCAGGGCGTAGACTTTTTGGTTTCTCGCAGAGTGCGTGAGTGAAAGAGCGGCTGAAGCGGTACTGCTTCTTCGTGTTTGGGAACAGCAACTGCGAAACAGAGTTCGGTTCAGATGTTCTGATGTGCTGAGGTCATAGTTGCGTGTGGCCGTGTGTGTGTGTGTGTGTATGTGTGTGTGTGTATGTGTGTGTGGGTGTGTGTGTGTGTGTGTGGGTGTGTGGGTGTGTGGGTGTGTGGATGTGTGGGTGTGTGGGTGTGTGGGTGTGTGGGTGTGGGTGTGTGTGTGTGTGTGGGTGTGTGTGTGTGTGTGTGTGTGTGTGCGTGCGTGTGCGTGTGGGTGTGTGGGTGTGTGTGTGGGTGTGTGCGCGTGTGGGGGCGTGTGGGGGCGTGTGGGTGGGTGGGTGTGGGTGGGTGTGGGTGGGTGGGTGGGTGGGTGTGGGTGGGTGTGTGTGTGTGTGTGTCTGTCTGTCTGTCTGTCTGTCCGTCTGTCTGTCTGTCTGTCTGTCGGTCTGTCCGTCCGTCCGTCCGTCCGTCCGTCCGTCGGTCTGTCGGTCTGTCTGTCTGTCTGTCTGTCTAGGGGCTCAAGGTTACGAGTTACGACCAGCTACCGTAGAAACTTCAGCTGAAGCCATGGACATGCCAGGGTTCAAGGGCATGACATACTTAAGGCTTACAGCTAACATAGATCCGGATTCACATTCCCCCCCCCTCCACCAATCAGGACTGAAAGGCCGACAACCTAAAATTTAGTCCCTCCAGCACAGAGAGCGGGCTAAGAAGTCGATGGACTATGTAGCATTAACCTGATAGATACATAGCATCCTTTCGGGATTTATATGGCGTACTCTTAGTTACACTCGGGCTCACCCCCAAACCCCCGTCAGTCCCCTGCTTTTTCCCGCTTTGTCAGGATGAGCTGCGAAGACTTCGCAGCTCGGTTTTTGTATCGATGGGGCGGGCTAGGGCTACTCTATGGAGGGTTTAGATCTTCTTGATCCCCTGCGTGTAGAGCACCCAAGGCTTCCGTCAAACCTTCATAGACCTTAAGCTCTGAGCTGCTACCAAAGTAGCTTCCCTGGTACACACAGAAGGACGCTGAACCCGGGGTCCAGTTCTCCCAGCCCAAGCGCTGGATCCCAACAAAAGGAGCTCCTCGAACTTAACACACTACATGTTAGGGTTTCGGGCAGTGGTATCGGCTTAGGGTCTGAAGGTTCATCCATTTTTCGGCGGCAGTCCGAAAACTTCAAAGCCCCGAAGCCTCGAATACACAATGATCCCCCAGACCCGGTTCAGTGTTTCGGGCTCCTCTCCTAAGCCCTTTGCCACTGAACCTCCCGAACCAAGAGCTTCAGAGCCTTGAATGCCAAGGAAAGCGCATGGCAGACCGCAAGCATGCCGAGGCGGAGGCATTGAGGAAGGAGCTTATGGAATACGCCCCTCAAGCCTTGATCGGGGATAAGGGCCTTCATAGGGCTTAGGGATTTTTCGGGTTGAGGGTGTACAAGGCTTCGGGGAGCAAGGGTTGTAGGGTCTTGAGAGGATTGGGATGTTCGAGTTGAGGGGTTTGGTGTTCAGGAAGATGCACATCGAGTGTTCATTCGGATGTGCACGGCCTTATGATAGCTGTGACATGCTTTGACTATATTCAGACATCAGGTTAGGTTAGAATCGCACTGCACAGGAGAGGTAAAAAAAGAACCGCAGGCATGTCGAATTTGGATACTAGGCTCAAGGCCTGTGGCCTTTCCCGTTTCAGACGCCGACAGTGAGAGTTTCACAGAAGTCAGGCGGCCCTTGCCCAGACACCACTCCCACAGGCAACCTTTTTCGACGTTCGTAGGCTTGGCCTTGAGCTGGAACCTTGTGCAACCTTGCTGAGTACTTGCATTTCTAGATTTGCGTTCGTTATCCTAAGGTCAAGTTCATCGTGAAGATCCTGCCCGATGAGTGGCGTGCGAGAGCGACTTGGGCTGTTTCCCACAGGGCCGAAACGATTACAAGCAGCGGGTTTGGGTCTGTTCTGGGTGTAGGGCTACTTCATACGTACGATCACAGCAAGTATGACGCAGGAGCAAGTAAGGGTGAATAGTGTTTCGAGAGCGAACAGCGAAGGCGTACCCTGAACCTGAAGCCGGAGATTTTAAGCCCCAGGTCGTACAACCGCTTCGAGAGTCCAAATCCTAAACTTTCTTCACCTTCATAAATCGCGACGTTCGCCCCAGGTGAAACCTGAAATTCTCCAGCGACTGGCTTCCAAGCATGGCCCCGTCGGCGAGGCTGGAAGCGATTCGGAAGCATCCATGACCTACGGCCCTTACGGAAAAGAGGATGGCACAAGATATTTCCCGAGTGGTGAAAACAAAACAAAGCAGAGCTACATCCAGTACATTTCAGAAGCCCGCATATGTGCGTTCCCCCAGTTCGCATCATCGTAGCAGCTCGAAGACTCCAACGAAGCCCAAAGAGTCCTGCCTTCTGCAGGACTCCACCGTCAGCTGCAACTCACCGCCTTTTCGAGAACCTTCCTCACAGACGCTTTGCTTGAAAATTGAGTTGGGGAGATTGTGGTGTCCCCTTGCAGTCACTAGATAGTTACAGTAGAAGATACCGCCCCTACATTGATGCGAACCCCAATTCCCAGCACCTTAACTATTAACCCTTAAGCAAATTGGAGACTAACGGCTTGCAGCCCTTGCTATTCTGACAAAGCCCAAAGGGAAAAGTAATATAACTACTGAATACTACAGGGTTCTGGATCGAGGGTGCACGAAAGGTGCAACCATTGCCGGCGCCCCAGTGCCGCGTGTTAGGCACGCACAGCTCGAGCCATTGTGCGAGCCAGAGCAGCCCCGTCGCCGACGTGGCATCGCAAGCTGCGGAGGCAGCGTTCAGCGGCTAGACGCCGCATTTGGAAGGCCCGAGGCTCTCGCCAACGGCCGGCTGCTAAGGATCTACATCGCCTTGCGGCACACCACTCTCAGCCCCTCTTTCGTGAACTTCGTGACCATATGGGCCGCAACAAGCCACAATGGGGAAAAGAACGCGATGCATACTATGGGCGCTCGGAGCATGGATGGTCGGAGCATGGATGGCCCCCTTCCCACGGCAAGGGCAAGGAGAAAGGCAAGGACAAGGGCAAGGACAAACGACAGCCCTCCTACACCTGGCAGACCGAGACGGCGGATTTCCCGACCTACGACATGATGGAGACCAGCCGGACACGTGGACAGCCGTCCCGTCCTGCCGAGGCGGAAGCGGCGAACCGGGTGACTACAGGTGGAGCCATCAAGGTCGTCCAGAAGATCGTCAACGGTGTCCGTCGGAACGAGACCCGGCTTCGCAAGATGGACGAGGAGGCCGAAGAAGCTGCGGCCAAATGGAAAGCCTTTCAGGAAAAACTGAAGAAATCGTTCATTACGGAACGTGCCCGCTATATGGCCAGCAAGGAGCAGTTTGCCAAGGTGAAAGCCGAGGTCCAGGAGATGCTCGCACAGAACCTGCAGGACCTTCAGGACTTCCTGGTGAACCCGGACCAGTACCAGGCGAAGATGGAGGTCGACGACACCCCCACCGAGGCCCTGGCGGCGTGGGAGGCATTGATGACAGAGCCCGCGGAGACCGAAGCGGACGGAATCTCGGGCCTCCTCAAGGGTGCCCTCGCTGGCAGACAGACGCTCAAGCAAGCAGCCCGAGAGCAGCTCCTGGAGGTCCATGGACGATCCAAGGCCGAACCTGGCGAGGTGACAACCCCGCCCCGCAGGACTGGCCAAGCCCTTCCGCTGACTCCACCCGCAGTGACCAGATCTGCCCGGCACCGATGACACCGACGGATGGCGAGGTTGCGAGAACCCTGGAAGGAGCCATGCAGGGAGATCCCTACATGACGTCACCGTCATTGGCAGGGGCTATGCCGAGTGTGCCAGAGACCCGCAGGTCCAGGCCCCGCAGCACCGCCCCTCGGACAGCAATCAAGTCGGTGGGCAAGGATCCTGGCCCGGCCAATACCGGTGGTGCCAGCCTTGCCGAGAAGCTGGACCGCAAGCGACAGCAGGCCGCCGATGCCATCTCGATCGAGGAAGACGAGGAAGAGGACTTGATCGGAGACTTGTCCAGGGCCACTGCCGGGGCCGAGGAGTAGCACGTGATGGTCTTCCACGACTACACCGCGCCCTGTCCACTATATGCAGGCTTTTTCGGCATGTCCTGCAGCGTGGCAGCTTTTTCGGCTTGTCTGCCTACGCACTTCGAGCACAGTTTGAGCTGGGAACTCCCGGCCCCCCGAAGAGCAATACCGGGGTGGGCTGGCGACGCCCTACAGTTTTGGATGGAGCACTATGGCCCTCCGCCGCGGTGCCGAATGGTCTTCGGACTGTTGGCACGGACTTTGACCTCGGCTGCAGGCTTCCCAGCCTGCTTCATCAAGATCTGCGACGTGGTCACACATATGATGGGGCCTTCGAACAGGTTGCAGACCCCCGACCTCTTCTTACATGGCACGGCCCCTCGGGAGGCCACGACCATTTCAGGCTGGAACACCACGACATCTATGACTTCCTCGATGTCACCGACTACGCCTACGGTCGCATGGCATGGTGGGCGAGCACCATGTTGGAGGTATGGGCTGACACAGCCCAAGCTATTGGCAACACCTTGCGACTGATTTGGCTCCTGAGTTCTGGGGCTCTTCTTTGGGCGCAAGCAAATCGCCGCCGGCCGCTTGTCAAAGACCTACGACGGCGACCTCACTCTCTCCCTCTTCGAGTGCTCGCGGCCACCATACTACCTCATGGAGTGCATGCAGCCCCTTACCCTCGACAGCTGCAACAGACTTACAGCCCGGATTGGCGGCGACCCACGGACTTGGAACTCTGGGCAGCTGGGCAACTCACCGGGAGGGAGCAGTTGCTCAATCCTGCTGCCAGACTTGCCTATGAGACGCCGGTGTGCAGTGGCGGACTCCTCCCTGGACACGTCTACCCGGACGGACCGCCGATGGCCCAACCCATGCCACCTGAGCAGTTCGACGATGTGGATCTCCCCTTAGAGCACGACCACGAGATCCAGGCCGGCGAGATCCGAGCAGAGCATATTTCCTTTTGGGTCGGATCCCCAGGATGGGAGCCTGAGTCGCTCGATGTTGCCCTCTCCTTCCCTGTCAACGACCACAGGGTGAGGGAGATTGTGCAGGACAGTGTCAGGCACTTGAGTCACCCCTGGCTCAATGATATCTTCGAGTTGACACCGCAGCTCCACCACGACTACGGCAGCTTTGTGCTAGTCCCTGAGTGGGTGAGGCATTCAGCCAAGCGAGTTGTTGTCATTGACGGCCAACGGTTTGACAAGGGGGTGCAGGCCTTCTACTTTTCCGGCCCTGTCACCCGGTTCCTCGTCCTCTCTAAGATCGGCATTGATCCGGATGCGGCTGCTGAGGTCTATGTGGGAGGAGCTGCAATCCCTTTGGCGCACCATGCCAGCAAAGAAGTTGACAATGGATGTTTGGTGCAAGTCCTTCAAACGGGTGATCAAGTTGGCTGGGCAGGAGACCTCCGAGATCGATTCCAGGACCCGACCATGTGGCGACCAGCCACACAGCACCCTGCCTTCTGCCGTGACCGCTTCGTTGAGTTCCAATCTGGCACACACCAGTACACCCACCGGCTTCGCCGTGAAGATCGGAGTACACCAACTGAAATTGCCGGCGAAGCTTTTGAGCTGGAGCCCGACGCCTTCTGGCTGCGTGCTCCTACCAACAGGCCTACAGGGATGTTCAAGGCCAACAGACGGATACACTCTGTCGTGGCGGTTGTTCAGGACCAATACTTCAACCGGGATCGAGCAAGTATCATTACGCTCGACCTGCGCCCTATTGGTCAATGGGTGCAATGGGTTGCTGTGGAGAGTGAGTTATTCTATGCCGGCGATTACATTGCTGCCCTCCAGCTGCCTGTTGTTGACGGCTTCTCGGTTGTCATTCATGGTGGCACGAAGACTCGCACCCCAGGTGCCCAACGGGTCAATGACGGCGATGTCCTGGAGGTCACCCTCACAAGATCAGACGACATTACACCGTCTGAGTCTTCCGATGGCGACAACGACAGTGATGCGGGCGGCGACGATGAGAGCGACGAGGAGGGCCACGATAGTAGTAGTACTCGCGATGCACTACCGAACTCCTCTGACCTCTCCACCGGCACCCCACCATCTGGCCCTGGCCCTTTCGGGCCCCCCCCTCCAAGGCCAGTCAACCGCAGCAGATCTCCGCGCCGACACAACGATGAAGTCGGATCGCCTGCTGAAAAGGGTGCGGCTGATACACCTGGCCCGTTACATGAGCCCCCCTCGCTCACGCTCTCTCTCAGTGAGGTGCTCCCTCCAGCGAGTTTCGATATCAGTGCACGGACCGTCGCTCTCCCCCATACCGTTGATGACGTAAAGTGCCTGCTGCGGCCATGGCCGCCGGATTGGATGCAGGAAGTCTGCTTACCGACCCTGCCACCGACTACGGAGCGGGCAATGGCACAAATGTGCCACTGGGCGGACATCATTGGCAGTACCGTCGTGGCCAAATGCCCGGAAATCCACCTCTATGTTGATGGATCATGGACTCAGCAATTGCAGGTTGGAGGCTATGCAGTCGCTATATTCTTGGTCACCACAGGATCCATGGCGCTCTTTGGGCTCCTAGGGGAACCCACCCAGGGCAATCCAGACACGCCCTGGCAACATGAAGATGCACCAGCTCTGCGCAACGAACAAACCGCGATGATGGCCGCGGTCTTGTGGTGCCTACAGAGCCGCTCCTTCATCTCACCTGCTGCCTATCACTTGTTCTATGACTGTGCTGCGGCGGGCAAAGCAGCTACTGGTGAATGGGATGCCAGCGATGACTTTGGCCTTCGGTTACGACATGTCACACGGCTCCTGCAAGATCTTTCTGGTGTGCCTGTGTACGTGAAGCACGTTAAGGCCCACGACGAGCACCCGCTGAACGAGCTCGTTGACACACTGGCCAAGGAGGTCTCCAAAGGCCATGTTGCCCTCTCGAAGCCACCGCGATGCCTATGTGAGATGGTCCAGTCGACTGACCTCTCTTGGCTCCCTGTGGTGGCGCAACAAATCTCTGGAGATGCCTACCCCATACAAGCCGGCTGCCAACTTCAATGGGATGAAACGATTGAGTATGGGCGATCGACCTTGACAAGCTCCCAGCTAATCCCTGCCACCGGAGAAGGTCGACATTGCCATGAACCTACTCGTATCGGAATACAGGCCAAGTTTTTCAGCCTGAATGCCCAAACCCTTTCGGGACGCTACAAGTACTACGAGGAGCAGCTCATGACCGAGAAGGTCCAGATCGCGTGCTTCCAGGAGACCCGCGGTGCCGAAGGAGCTACAGAGTCCAAAAACTTCTTGAGACTTGCAAGCGACTCCAAGTCCCACTGGGGTGTCGCTGTATGGCTGAACAAGGTCTATGGCGCACTCACTATATTGATGGGAAGCCATGTGTTGTGAAGGAGGCAGACATACGTGTTGTGACACAGACTCCCAGGCTGATGATCCTCTCCATCGATATTGGCGGTCCCAGAGTGGTCGTTGTTGCTGGACACTGCCCCGATGCCTCCAAGGGCGATGCCGCCCGGGAATTCCTGGCCACATTTGGTGACGCAATGAAGCCACTACGCAGGTCCTGCTTGATCCTCTGCGGCTTTGACTTGAATGGCCGCCTGCCGACTGGACAGGAGGGCCATACGGGCGATCTCGAGTTTGGAACGCCAGATTGGAATGGCGAACTGATGGTGCGGACTGCCCGGACCCTTGACCTTTGGTTCCCTTCCACGTACGCCGCACTGCACCCTGGACCTTCTGCGACGTTCACGCATGCCCAAGGCACACGCCACCGCATTGACTACGCGATCATTGGAGGGATCGCGGAAATCGGTGCCGTCCGAAGTTCCGTTGCTACCGACTTCGACACCCTGAATATGAATGACGATCATCAACCGGTCCTGATCGAGCTGCAGGGCACCATCACAACAGCTATCGGACGGGAGCAAATCTGGCGCCCGCGCTTTGACACTGAGAAAATGCTGACCCCAGAAGGTAAGGCGACCATTGCGCAGGCCCTCACAGAGTTCGAGTCACCACAATGGGGGTGCCACCCAGATCAGCATTGTCAATCCCTGCAGGACTTCCTTCTGGGCGTTATGGAGAGAAATTTCAAGTGCGATGACCGAGGTCCCCGCACCAGCTACATCGCGCCTGACATCTGGGCCCTTCGGGAGGCGAAGCTCGCACTCAAAACCCGAGCCCGGCATCGAGCGAGCCTGTGGAGCTCTCTGCTCAGCCGTGCCTTCCGGCAATGGGGAGCTGGGGAGGAGTACGGCGTGATCCCATTGGTCGCCAAACAGGGCATGATCTACGAGATCATCGCTGCGGCTGTCAACTACGCGACCCTGAGGATCAAGAAGGGCATCCGCCAAGGCAAAAATGCTTTCCTGGACAGAGTCGCCAAAGGAGGCGCGGCAAAAGCGTCGGAGATTCTCAGTACTGTTAAGCGTGTCGGTATAGGCGGAAGGCAAGCCAAGACCTACAACCGCCCCCCTCCAAAGCTGTTGGCGCCTGATGGCACGATTGCGGCCTCTCGGGCGGCGCGTGATGAGATCTGGCTGGACCAGTTCAGCCGCCAGGAGTGTGGCGAGATTGTTGACACCGCGAAGTATCTCGGTCGCCCCTGGAAACCGGTGATCGTCGATATGCAGTTTGACTGGAACCTGGAGGAGATCCCGTCCTTCTTTGAAGTAGAGACTGCCTTTCGGCATGCCCCGATGCGGAAGTCATGCGGACTTGACCATCTACCAGGCGAACTACTACGCGCCGACCCGGCAGGCATGGCCAAAGCAGCGTTCCCACTCTTCTTGAAAGCTACGCTGTCGTTGAGACAGCCAGCGCAGTGGCGCGGCGGCCTCTTAAGGGAGGCGTGGAAAAAGAAGGGTCCGATACAAGACCCTGCCAGCTATCGATCCTTATTTGTGTCGTCCATGCTGGGCAAGACGTACCACAAGGTCCTACGAGCCCGCGCCACCCAGTACACCGCCGACATGCTGCTAGGATTTCAGATGGGCACGCGCAAGCAAGCGCCGGTGACTCTGCCCAGCCTTTACATACAGGCACATCTGCGAAGAGGAGTACGTGAACGACTGTCTACAGCAGTACTCTTCTTGGATGTGCAGTCGGCGTATTATACGGTCATCCGGGATATGTCGGTTGGTCCCATCGAGAGCCCGGAAGTAGTGGCCAAGCTTTTTCAGTACTTTAGCCTTGACCAAGCGGATCTTGCCGAGTTCTGGGGTGACATCCAACAGGGCGGAGTTATGGGCCAATCAACGATGCCGCCGTCGCTCCGGCATTTGGCCAAAGACACTATGCACCAATCCTGGTTCGTCACGGGCTACGGCACTTCTAGCCGGGTCTGTGTCACCCAAGCCGCATCCCGCCCCGGCGAGGCATGGGCTGATCTTGTGTTCGCTTTTGTGCTGGGGAAGATCCTATGCAGGATCCGAGAAGCTGCAGCTGGCGAAGACCTCTTACAGGTGCTCCACCATGATGGAGAATGTGGGCCTTATGCCAAACCGGGAGATGGCGAAGAGGTCCAAGCACTCGAATGTGCTTGGGCTGACGATGCAGCCTTCCCTACGGCTGACAGAGCACCCGAGAAGCTCCTGGCCAAGGCCTCTCGCCTTTGCTCTGTTGTCCTGCATGAATGTGCCCGACACGGCCTCCAGCCCAACCTTCGACCGGGCAAGACGGCCCTCCTTTTGGTGCTTCGCGGGCCGGGCTCCCGTAAAGCACGACAGAAATGGTTCCCACAAGGCCAACAGTCGCTCGCCCTGCCTGACCTCGGAGTCGAGGTCCCGGTTGTCGGAGCCTACACACACCTTGGAGCCTTGGTCGATTGTGCCATGTCCCTCCAAGGCGAGGCGAAAAGGAGGTTGGCCATAGCTCAAAGTTCCTTCGACGAGGGCAAGAAACTTCTCTATGCCAACAGCACAATCCCTCTTGCTACGCGAACAGGATTGTTTTTGACTGGCTTCCTGGCTACAATGTTCAACCTGGGCACCTGGGTGCCCGAGGGACATGCCTGGCAGCGTATGGCAGGTGGCTTTACCCGCATCCTCAAGGGACTCCTGACCAAGATGTTCCCCGGCGAGCTCCTCTACAACGTCGCGGCCCCCGCGGTGCACATCCTGACGGGCTGCTATATACCCCCTCGAAATGTATGCGAGGCGCGCAAGGATCAGTTTACTGGCGTCTATGTGCAAAGCTGCCCCTGCGGAGCTGTGGGCGGCCCTACAAGCTGAACAGGCCTGGTTGGCCGTGGTGCGGACTGATCTGGATTGGCTGTTGGCTGGAGCGGAGGACTGTCCACCGGCCAATGCTTCAGGCTGGCCGGAACTACACGCGCTACTTCGTCACCGCACTGAGTGGATCAAGCGCCGGGTTCGCCACCAACTCAAGCGGGACTTTGAGGCCTTTTGCGAGGAGCAGTTGGCTAACTTGCAGCTCTGGGCACTCTACCGGCGGCTATGCGCCTCCCTCCCAGCCACAGCGCTATGTGAGGAATGGGTATGCCGCCCATGCGGGCGGCGAGTGAGAACGAGAGCGGCGCTTGGCGCCCACTTCTTCAAAACACACGGCAGACAGGCGCAGCACCGGCGCTTTGTCGCAGGCAGCATTTGCCGCGCATGTGGTCGCCAATACTGGACGCAGCAGAAGCTCGCCACGCATCTTCGTGACCATCCTGGCTGCGTTGCGACGCTCCAGGCGCATGGGATGGGAGCCACCACCGTTGCGCCAGGTCGAGGAAGTCGAGCATGGCGCAAGGCCACAGACGATACCTACAGCTTGGCTGTCCCCAAGCAGTGTCAGGCTCCCCTCCCTGATATACCTCAGCGTGGATGGGAGCAATGTGTCACAGAAGCATACCAAGACCTCTGCGACGTCCTCCTCGAGTATGACCTCCCTGCTGACCCGCAGGCGATCCACGACAAGATCGCCTGCCAGCTCGGACGTCACCCACTCTTCGCGGATGAAGAGGACCTGATCGTCGACTACGTCGATGGCGAGGTCGCTGCCCTTCGAGATGCTCGAGCTGACGAACACTGGAGTGACTCGGTGTACAGCGCGCTCCGTATCGCGCTTCAGGGTTACAAAGACCGGAACCCTCTGCAGGACGACACAACGTCGAGCCGCCCTGCCAGTGACTCTCTGTATGACTTCAGTCGAAGACTGCAGACATACGACTGGCAGGATGCCCTTGCCAGGGCCAGATGCCCACACGTGACCCCGGATAAAGCCTTTTTCGAGCTGGACAGCAGGGAAGCTGCTAAAGCCTGTCCCAGCGAAGTGCTTACCGTAGCAGCCGTGGAGGAGAAGTACTGGCCACTGGTGCCAATGACGTTACAGCATGCGTGGGATGCAGCCTTGCAAGGCGCAGAAGTACGCCTGAAGGCACCGCACTTTCCTCAACATGAGGGAATCTGTTTGCACATAATTAGGCTGCGTACTTACCTCTGAAAGCCCGCAAAGCAAAGCAAACTGAATACTACTGAATCAAAGCATAATAGGGGCCATTCTTCTAAGAAGTTCCCGGTTCCTCCAGGCAGCGATCAGGGTCGAGGATTTTGGGAGTCAAGAGAAGAGCACTCCATTTTGCCAGCTGAAACTTGCCGTTTCATTTGCGAAGAACTCGGTGTCGGTGCGATACAGTAGTTGGTTTCGAGCGCTGGGTTTCCGTGCTGGTTTTTGGAGAGCTAGTTGCAGCTAGTTGCTGGATGCTGCAGATTCCTGCATCACGGAAAAGGTTTGGAGCCTAGACCATGGAACACAGGATCCTTGCTGTATGTTTACGCGTTTTGCAGCAGCAACCCGTAAACTGCAGAAGCCACGATATCGCCTCCCGTCCTGTGGCGTTGTTGTTCGATACGGAGGTGGCTTACATTTTGTTGGAGAGGTTTCCAATCTTAGATTTTGGAGGTTCGGCGAGGTGCATGGTGCCTGAAAGCTCGTCTCCGCTAAATCTCCGAACTCCGAGCCGACCCAACACCATGGGTTTTGCGGTTTGAGGCTGTCTTGGGGCTTCGCTTACCCTAAATGCCAGCCGACCTTGCACACGTCTAACACCCAGTCCCGGAAGCGCCAAATATCCTTTCAATGCCCTAGTTGTGAGTGCTGCAATGGCACTTCAAAAGAATGGTGCGATGCCTCCACACTTGCATCCAGACTGTGGAATCCTTACATGCGAGAATAGCTGAGTATACATAAAGCGCATGCGAAGCACAGTCTAGGCCACGGGAACTAAAAGCAAACGTGCGATTCCTTGAAGGAATACCTTGAACAGCTAAAGAACGTTATTACAGATAGAAGCCCTGACGGTCCCCGGCCATGAGCCTGGAATCACAAATGCCACAACTAGAGTTCCGAAAATCTTAACCCGAAGCCCTACCTTGTGCCCCAGGCTTTCCGGCTTCGTCCTACGTAGCCAGGTGGAAGGCCAAGAAGCTATAAAACCTATTCGATCTGACTGGAATTAGAAAAAACCCCTCATGGAACCCTTTCCCTTTCCCTTTTTCGCCTCGAGGCCTTCCCTGCCGCCACTGGATGAGCATCCCATGCTTTCTCGCGGGAGCTCCCGGGACTCGAACTAGTGGCACCCTTTCGAACCCTACGCCCAGGACTTCAAAAAGGACTTCATGTTTCAAGTGTAGGCATTCTATGCCTGAGTCTGAGATCGAAAGCCCATAAACCGCTGCACTGTTATATAGACGCTGTTGAGTTGGATTTATTGCTCGCAGTGTCCCTTTATGGTGCCTACCGCGATAAAGAGCCCATTTTCTAACAGCCACCTTCTACCCCTTCTAAGTCAGGCTTTGGGGTGTTGCAACGCATCGTCATCGGAGCTATCAATTCGGTACGTTCCGACTTGGCGTTAAAGCAGGAGTGAAAACATAAGCTTGCTTCTACATCCTAAAGCTCCAGTGGTCCATAGGCCCTATATCCCTGAACCGTAAACTAAAACCATGGGCGTGCTTGGGGTCGAACCCGTTTCTCTACTAGTCAATGTCGAACAAGACGTTCGACACAGATGTGCCGTCCAGCCAGAGCAGGTGAGCACCCGCTTCTATGGTGTACCGCAATCAACACATATCCTAGTATTGGGGGATCTATGAACAGGTGGAGTGGTTGCTCCAACATTGCCGAGGTGACGTGGGGTGTTGATTCTCATTAGGACGTCGTCCGTCGTTTTAGGGCATTGGTTTGAGTCGTTGCTAGGGCATGCAGGGTGGTGGGGATTAGCTGATTAGCCTTGGTAATCTTCATCGAGCAAGGCCGAAGTGAGGTGTACGTCTGCATTTCCTGGATGACCTCGCAGCCGATTCAATGCCCCTAAAGCTTGGCGACGGCTGAAAAGAAGCGTGCAGGGCGTGGGCAGTCTCGGGTTCAGGCTCCATCCTCATCCTACGCTCTTGCCCCCTTCTGGTATAATGACAGATGAACCCGAAACTGACAAAGCAAGCATCAGCGCTGAGCACAAGAAAGAAGTACTGTAGAGGTCTGACAAGAATCGCAAGATAAGAAAAATTGCAAGAGACAGAACCGGTCGCGTGTTTTCTGCAGCCGAATGGTGGGTGTTGGTTCGGGGCACTGTTTCCAAACAATCACGGTGCGGTACACTGCGATAGCGGTTCGGGACCTACCGGGGGAAAGCGTGGTTGAAACGCCTCTGGTCATTGAACCAAAAATTGCTTTCTCAAGCTCTTGCTCACCAAAAGCCTTCAATGCGATTTAGGGTCTTCCGGCTTCGGCGGCTAAGCCCTACTAATCCGGCCAAATCCGCAAGCCGCCGTAAACCCTTAGCTTTAACCAGGAGCGGTGAGGGCTTTGGAGCTAAGGCTTCCCCCGCGTCGTCTTGATGGCAGGTCTCCAATTCAGAGTGAGCCGAGGGAGAGTGAGTTGGTGGAACCAACACGGTCTCGGGTTTGGTCTTGTAGGGTTTGGAGCTTTATGCTCGCCGCGTCCCTACCCCATCCTCTCTTATTTCTTGTCGCAGGGCTTGAGGTTCCGGGTTCAGAGGTTAGGGCGTCGATCCTTCAGCGCTGTGGTGTTTCAGAGCTCTTTGGATCCGATGCCCTTGGATTTAGGATAGACCCGGAGGCTCTGACCACGCGCTTTTTGCAGCTCGGAAAAAGCTGCTGGAGCTGTTTGCATTCAGGGCATGGAGCCTTCGTACAGTCGTGCACCCGAAGCCACGTGACCAGCCTGTTCGGCAGCATCATCAGAAAGCAAGCGTAAAGCCTACAGTAGCAACATTTCAGCATCTTGAATTTCTGAATGCCCATGCCTCACAAGCCCTAGAGTCAACCTGAAGTTTTGTAAGAAAGGGCTAAGTTGGCAGGTCTCCTCCCGCACTCCTATGGCTTAGGGGTTTTGCAGTAAGGATTAAAGACTCGAGATTCTTGAGGCTGGTGGCTTTGGGGTAGGGTGTCAGGCGTGGGAATCAGGATGAGGCGTTACTGTGGCAGGCGGCAGTTACTGGATTCACGCGGGGACTTTGTGTGTCTGGAGCTTTAGGATTCAGGGCTTCACAACGCTCCAAGTCTTACGAGCTATGCTTCCAAGATCCGGAGATTTGGTTTCAGGCTTTGGGCACAGCATCTCGCCACGAGTGCGGTGTGCTTGGGGATCCTGGCCGGGCGAGCACTAATCAAGCCTGTGGAAAAAAAGGCTTTGGGCACAAAGTTCGCAAAGCTTCGTACTTGCTTCAGATTTCAGCATGGCCTTTTTTCAGGCCTTCAACGTTCCCGTTTCGGAAAAGCCCTGGCAGGCGACACAGCGGGAGCCAAGGGCAAAAGCAGCAAGAGCAAGGCAGTCTCTCTCTGAAAAGGGTTAGGGCCTGGGTTACTGCTTACTACATGAGTAGGTTCTGAAGCAGGGTCCCATTCAAAAGGTAATTCAAAAGGGGATCCTAATCTAGAGAACTACCCGGACTACCCATACAAGGGTTCGATGATGCCGCCTATGTGGGCTCCTTCTTAAGGGTTACTCGGGAACTTAACTTTGCTTTCTCGCAGAGTTGTGCGTGATGTAGAGCCTGTTATATCCGAAGAGTCCCATTGCTTTCTGGATTTATGACGGGTCCCTCATTCTCAAAACCCCGTGCTCGCGGACTGTAAGTGGCTTGATCAAGGCACCAGCCCCCCCCCCCCCCCCCCCCCCCCCAAAAAAAAAAAGCACCTGAAACTTGATTTGCAGCCGTGCAACAAAAGCAGTATGAGAAGAGAGGCCAAAAGTACCAGTGGGAAAAGGTTCTGTGTGCAGGAACCCTTTTGCAGGTCGCCCCGTCGCCCGTTATCATGATTGGCATGCTCACGGTTGGTATCATCATCACCATGATGCCGTATTTTTGTTCGGTGGCTGGGACCTTGAACGAGGCCTCGACTGTGTGGACACATAGCACGGAGTGCGGGGTTCTTCTTGAGAGCCTTCAGCTAACAGGATGAACTTTCAAGTTAAGAGCTTGCTCTCGGTGCTCTAGCCGCTTAGAAGTATCAGAGTTTATGGGGTACTATAGATGCCTGTGCTGGGCGACCACCCTGATGGACCTGAATGACAGAATCCTATTTCTGATCTCACCAGTACGTCGGGGGCAGATCCCGCGTACAGGGGAATAGCCGGTGCTGGCTTGCTTGAACGTTCGTTTGACTAGCAAGCGGGTTGGTCATCATCTGTGAATCAACGGAGCCTGCAAATGGGGGTCATTGCCTCTCTCAATACTTGTCTTTGGCAAGGGGGGGCTCAGTGCTTAGGGGTCTCGGGTCACTGTGAACATGGGTTTTACTGCTTAACTGGGGAGCAGTGTACGCTACGAAGCAGTGAGGGGCAGTGTAGCGCTCAGGGTTTGGTTTTGCATCCAAACCCGAGGCGCCGTGCCCACATCCTACAGACCGACAGAGCCCTTTCTAGCCTTATGGTTGATGATATATATATATATATATATATATAAATCCTGCATTACCCATAATAAGGACCATACCATAATTCCCGTAGTTTAGGGTCCTTAAGGTCGTGCAGGATTTATATGATCAACCGTATGGAGCCCTTTAAGAACACCAAAGCCCGGAAATGCCCGCAATGCACCGTAGACAGGCAGCGTCGTCCTCTGGGAAACTAGGGGAAGAGGATGAAGACTTGGATGCAGGGGCCTCAGGAGATGTTGATCACGTTCTTGGGGTACGGTTTAGGGTTGTGGGGTGTCTGGCTTTGGGATGCAATCCGTGGGGCATGTGCACTGCAGCCCCTCCTCAGACAACTGTCGAGTTCGAGTTCAGGATTTGGGCCTGGTCTTCGAGTCTCCCAAAGAGAGGGCGGGAGGGAGAGATGGAGAGCGATAGAGAGGGAGAGAGGGTCAAGCTGTGCACTTAACAGAACCCCTGGAGGGCTACTCAGGCTACTGTTCAAAATCTATTGCACCTATCTGGGAAGAGTCTGCAGAAGCCGGTTGGAGTGTGGCCTGACTC